TTAAAAAATGTGGTTATACCGAACGCAACTTGAAGGCAGGTTCTATTTTACATGCAAAGTCACTGAATAAATACTCCTGATTTGTGGTGGCCCCTATTTTCTACCAGACTACCAGTAGTGGTCCCTTGAGCCCAGCTTTTGGCCCTTACAACAAGGAGAAGGCAGGTGGGAGAGATAAGCTAAGAAAGCTGCCAAAGGCGCCAGGTGGGGCTGTCTCCAGAAGAAATACTTCTGCCTCACCACAAACTCCAGAAGAAAGATTAGCAATCAGGAGGAAGGATAAGCTTGCTAAGCCTTTTCCTGTTACTTTTATAAATGTCTGTACAACCGAACCTAGTCAGAGGCAGAAGCAGCGCCTGCCAGGCAGCCAGCAGTCTTGGTTCTAGTGCCACCTCTACCCAGCGTCAGAGCCTTAGCCAAGTCACTTCCCCATACCTGTCAAATAAGAGGTTTGGTTCAGATTATGACTTAAGATTCTTCCACTTAAAAAAAATTTCTAATGTTCTATTCAAATTATACTCTAAAAGAGATCATTATTTTCTCTGCTTAACACTGCGTATTTGCTAACTTTTCACAGGGCAGAACACTTGGCATAAATGTGAGCTGCATCCTTCTTTCCATTTCTTATCTCTTAGATAGATCCTTTAACTAGTAACTCTGTTCCAAATTTGTTGTTGTTTTTTTAATCCTCCTTGACTAGCACAGGGAGGGCTTTCCCACAAACAATACTTACTCTAATGCAGAAATATGTACATGTAGAACAATCAAAGCCAGAAACAAAAAGAGCTGCCCTAGAGAAATCAGAAAAGGGAGAAGGGCGGGGGCAGGGGGTTGTCTAAGGCTCAGGCACAGAGGAGATGACCACTTTGTTCTCAGTGATGGATAACAAGATGTGGCCATGGCCTTGGCACTAGACTGGCTACAAATAATCTTTGACTGTTTCCCTTTCATTTACTTCTACATAATCCTACATTAGCACTGCTAATATGCATGACTTTCCCATCACTGCATCTCCTCCTTCCTCCTTCTGAAGAAGGCAATGAACACTGAAGATGACTGAGAAATACAGTCTAAAAGAAAGCTGATCTATCACCTCTAGGGAATCTGTTATGACAGACCGGATATTCTGAATAGACAGGAGAAAAATCCTTTCAGCCCATCTGCTACCTTTGTTCAAAGGGCCTAAATCCAGTCAGCAGTGCCTACAGCAACCCTTTTTCCACTTCCCTGGCAAACTTTAGCCGGCATGATAACTGTAGATTAGAATACGTACTTAAGATTTTAAAGGAAGAGGGGTAGGCGATGGGTTTAACTTGGGGAAGCAGGGGCCTGGTTTAGAGCCAAGTCGGCATCCCACCTCCACCCTACATTAGTCCTGAGACTGAGTGGTCCACAGAGCTTCATGGAGCCCAGCGGTCAGGACAATTCCTAAATAGTTACTTGGATAAAAATGCCAGATTCCAGGATGCCAGGGGATAGACTAGTTACAGCAGAGCACAGCCTCTGCGGTCTGGGCCGGGGCCCTGCGTGCAGACTTGCACAGCCCACGCCAGCGCACTCAGCAGCGCCCACACGGCCCACCAGAATGAGCGAAGCAAGAGAGCCCTCTGCCCATTTTGACATTTACAGCCCTTTCAGAAACTTGTGAACTCAAAGGATTTAAACTATTTCGAGAGTTGCAAATTCAAATGCCTTGGGGAAGGGTGGGAGGGGTCATGGGAAAGATGTGAGACAGGCTGTACACAAGCGCCCAGGACCGCGCCCAGGACTGCACCCAGAACGGCCGTTGGTGGACTAGATTTTTCTTTTTAAGATTGCCCAGACAAAAGCCTGTAGGCCAATTTACAACTCCTAGGCTAGGAGCCCTGGGGTGTGGCCCTGCCTGATGGATGGGGCTGGGGGCTGGGACTCTAAACACCAAACCACTTTCATCAAGTTCAGGGAGAGAATGGAATTCAGGAGCTGCTTTCAAGGCACAGAGGAAACTGCAGCCCTGAGGCAGCCCCCTCCTGCCTGGATCCTGTTCGGTCTTGTCCAGTGTTTCTTTGAAGCCCACTCTACCCTGCAACATTAGCACCCTGTGCTGAAAAGAACCAGAAAGCGCTTTCATCCAGGGGGAGAATAACCATCACAGGAGGGCATTACTACTCACTCAAAGGAAAACTGACCCAGACCCAGCAGAGCAGAAAACAGCGTCAAATGAAACGTTTCCTAAAGAGATCAAGCAAGCTTAGCAACAAAACATAATGCTTTCTAAAACAAATGGAACAAGAAGAAGACGGCTATTCAGATAAACATCTTAGTCGCCTCTTATCCTAATATGAGGAATCACTTTTCAAAATTTAAATTTAAAACAAATATACACTACACACAAAAAAACAATCTTCCACAATGTGGAAGATGTATTTTGGTTGTGAACATTCGACCATCTCAGACACCACCTACTCTACCCGTCTCGATGAACGAGAGCAGCCCAGGAACCAAATGGAACATGGACGATGAAACTGGATCCATGTGCTTCAGGTTAAGAACATGTAAGGCTCTTCCCACCTTGGCCTGGCATACTGAGCTCGCAGGGAAGAAGGCCTGAGGGCCACATAGGTCACGGTCACCTGCCCTCCGTTTTCCAAAGCAAGCTTGGTTTTAGAGGTCACTCTTCTACAGAAAACAAGAAGTCCTTTCAAATGCCCCTGTCGTTCCCCAGGGTGCCCAAACTCAAACTGTCACCTGCCTCCAAACCTGAAAGTTACATCTTGATTTAATGGTGCAGGTCAGGAGGCCTAAATCTCTCATCCATTTTTTTTTTTTTAAGCATTCTACATCTAAAATAGATTTTTAATCGTCCAGGCATCAAATATCTCAACTGTCCCCACTTGAATGAGTTGGTTACAGGCACAAATGACTTGCACTCAGATTGCTCCTATACATTTTGAGATGGGACAAAAACCATGCCCTATTCAAGCAGCACAGTAGAGCTTTCTCTGAGCCAAGCTCTCGTGGGAAAGAGGAGTGTCCATAGTGAAAAGAAGCAGGGCGCCGTTTGGCCCAGCTGATCGCGGCAGTTCTCTCTCATTCCAACTTAAACACAGGGCGCATTCTGAAACCAAGGCAAAAACTGAAAATAAGTGAAAGGACCGCTTCCCTCGTGCTCTTAACCCACATAGTAAAGCCCCTTGTGGCTCTGGACAGAGTCCCGGCCACTACACATGAATGCCGGGTGGGAGTCAGTTGCACACTCCCATCCAGGCTGTTACATGCATACGTGCTTTCTCCTCGTCCCATCACAACCTCAAACATTTCCACAGGCCAACAATGAGGGGGCGAGGACTGCAGCGAAGCCCAGTGTGCCTTCCCATAAGGGGACCTTTCAACACCCACCCTCAAGCGCGGCCTGAGGATGAGATCAGACTCTATTCCATAGGCCATGAAACAAGCTGACTTTGTAACTAGCTGGCCAGCCTACTGTGAGGCCTTAAAAATGGAAAAGGATTGATTTCACCCACAGGGACCTCATTCTCTATGCAGAAAGCTCAGCCAACCCATTTTTAAATAAGTATATTCAGGGGATAGGCAAAACAACATTTATAAGAGCCCCTATGAGGTTCCCATTTATAAGAACTCCTTCTCTCTCCCCGCCCTTCCTCCTCCTGCTCTGACCACAGATCACACTGTACACACACCACTGCTGGGCGCACCACCCCAAATCTCTCTACCTGTTTCTCTGTTGGCAGTCTCCTAACTCAAGAATCCATAATGGCTTCCTATTTGCCATAAGACCATGGTCAAATGACTCACCTTAGCACTCAAACTCCTGCATTACCCAACAGAAAGCTTCAGAGGGCCTACTTGAACTAATGGATAAGAATATACCAAGTATGTTGAAGAAAATAGTTGTTCTGACATACTTGATTATATTTAACATGGTCTTTAGTTTCAGAATAAGGCTGGGGAGAACAAACACTTCCAAGGAGTTGTTCCTGGGGATGCCATCTCCCTTCAGGGAGGGGTTCCAGGAGGCAAATGGCGCTTGCAAAGCTCGCCTTTCTTTCCTCTCCCTTTGGAAGTTTTGCTTCCTGTCCCTTAGAAGGGAGCCCCCAGGAAGCAAAACTGTTCCTCTTCCCAGCAAACTCTGTGCCTGCAGGCAAAGCCTGCCCTGACCCAGGTGCACTCACCGGGTGGGTAAGTCAGACTCATTTTGGGGATCAGTAGCAGGAAACCCACTTCCTTGCAGGGATAAGCCACATTGTCCCACATCAGCTCTATGAGGGACAGAGGTGATGTTTGGTGATATTTGGCATGTACCTGCTGACATTGTAGTTTTTTTGTTAATTTGTTTAGAATCTGGAAGGGGAAAGATGGTGTTATTTATTGGACTCCCTCAAAAACTCCAACACATGCCTACCCCCATAACCTGGTTGATTAAAAAGGCCTACTATGGAGAAATTCCAGAAAGGTCCTATATGTGTCTCCCAGCATCACATACCAGGCCTACCTCTATAGACATTTCCAGAGAAATGGCTGGAAATCCATCCTCACCTCTGGAGACACGCACCCCACAAGTAACATACCCAGAAAAGTAAAAATTGCCTTGATTATCTAAGGAATGATCACAGGCTTTATCATATAGGACAAATTAAGTGTTTCTAACAGCTGCTTCCTGAGACATTGGCAACCACCCTTACAACAAGGAAAAGGTACAAAAGGCTACAAGAAAAACTTATACATCTAATCAGAAACATCTATAAACAAAGCGAAGACAAAACACACAGCCCTCTCCACCAAAAACATTGATTGCTTTCATACTACGACTAGAGATCCAGACGTTGAATGGTTCGCCCGCTTGGCAGAAAAGCACTGAAGAGGCTTCCCTGAAGGTTCTGAGAGAGTGAGTGTAGCCAAAACCACACTGGGGTGGGTGTGCCTAACCACTAAACTGGATGTTTCCCACACACCCTCATCAACCACCAGAAATGAGGAGAGTTGAAATGGGGCAGACTTACATGCTCTTTCATCTTGTTAGCCACCGTTGGTGACATCATGATGCAGCAGAGGACAACGACGAGAATGAAGTAGAGTGCATACATGAAGCGCGTACTCCGGGACTGTCGGATCTTGGGGCAGAAGTCACAGCAGAGGGAGCAGCCAGCAGACCCACAGCAGCAGGCCAACTAGGGAAGGAACACACAACATCCTCATAAAGCCACTGCTTTGCAAACCTGCTAACCCAACCCCAGCCCTCTGCAGATCAATCTTTCAGGATACCATTTTTCTGAGCCATCCTGCCCGTAGAGCTTGCTGGCACAATTCAGTGTGTGAACAAAGCTTTCGGCTGAATTGGTCTAATATCATCTCTAACGATAAACATTAAGGCGTGGGACAGGCCCAATAATTAAACATAAAAGGCATAATTCACCTGAAGCATTATAATCACTACTCTTAGGCAAAATAAAGACGCCTGGGATCAGCTAAAAGCTAAAGAAGCCAAGAACTAGAAAAAGGCCAACGTGAGGTGAGAAGAACATGAAAAACAAGGAATCAGGCCCAAGAAAAGGACTTGTCAAAATCCATGAGCAAAAGAATAAACTGTGTGAACACCTGGAGACACGTGGGTAAGCTGGCATCCATCCTCCTCCACAGGAGATAATGGGAGCATCCAACTGAATTTCAAAAGGAGTAGATGCCTCTTACCCTGGCATTGTTTACTACAGCTTCGTGCCCCTAATGGTAGGCTTTTCAGCTCATGAGTGGGGCCTGGGTGCAGGGGAACGCAGAGTACCTGCGGTACCCTGATAACACACACACCCTTATTTGGAGGAAACCAGCTCTTTTCTTTCTTTCCTTTTCTTTTTTTTTTTTAATTTTTGACTGGTCTTTATTGGTCAATGCAACCAGACACAATTTGGGGATAATACATAAGTAGGGATTAGGTTTCCAGGTTTGGGTCTGGTGTTAATTTTTTCTCTTTCTAAACACTATTTTTTTAAAAAGATTTTATTTCTTTATTTTTAGACAGGGTGGAAGAGAGGGTGAAAGAGAGGGAAACATCAATGTGTGGTTGCCTCTCACGTGCCCCCTACTGAGGACCTGGCCCACAACCGAGCCATGTGCCCTGACTGGGAATCCAAAAGGTGACCCTTTGGTTCACAGGCCAGCGCTCAATTCACTGAGCCACACCCGCCAGGGCATAAAGACTATTTTTTTAATAGTAGTTTTAGGTTTACAAGAAAATTGAGAAGGCAGCAGAAGTTTCCCATATACTCTTACTCCCACACATGCGTAGCCTCCCCCATTTATCAATGTTACTCACAAGAATGGTACTTTTTTTTTTTTTAAACCATGGATGAACCTACATAGGTATATCACAATCGCCCAAAGACCATGGTTCACCTAAGGGTTCACTGTATATTTCATGGGTTTGGACAAATGTATAATGACATATATTCATCATTATAATATCATATAGTATATTTCCACTGTCCTATAAAGAAATTAAATCTTTATTAAAGCATAGAGCAATAGAGTATAGTGTTAAAAGCTCAAGCTCAAAGCCACCTTGCCTGAGTTTGGGGATTGGGTCTGCCACCTACCAGCTATGAAACATGATCAAGTAACTAACCCTTTTATGACTCCTCATTTATAAAGTGGGGATGGTAGCAGTATTTATGATTATGCTCTGGTCACTTGGACCTACTTAGACATACCTCATGTTAGGAGGGATTTCTACAAGAGATTACCCTAAACTGCAAATAACTAAACCTACATGTATTACACTGTTGTCCATATGAAACCTACAACCTAACAATTCAGTCCCTTGATGATGATTTGGAAGGAAGTCCAAGATCTTGCATAAGCCGCAAATCAAGCATTAATTACAATGCCACACTATAAACATCACTTAGAATGAGAAGAGATCATAAGTAAACAAGTACAAGACAGGCTGCAATCACAAGGATATTATGACAGATCTTAGGAATGTAGTCATTTTCCAAGCTATTCCATCTACTTCATGAAACTGCCATGGTTTGAGGCCTTGGTCATTTTGTGCTATTTCATTTCTTTACACCTTGGTCATTCTGTACTATTTCATTACTTTACACTTTTGCTAATGTACTCTCTCCTTCTTCACTCAGTTTTCCAAGCCATCTTCCCCAAAGCACTCCTCTTGCTTCATAAGTTTTGGACACTGCTTTGTAAGATTAGTTATTCTACTTGGGCTGAACTAACAGATCACACAAGTGGGACCCTAACGCTACTGCCTATGTGGTGTTCTCATGGAGCCACCTTCCTTTACAATTCACTCACTGGTATTTTCTGTCCCAGATTTTACTAACTGCTTCCCACTCACATTCCACTCCCTCTCCCAGCCCCGCCTCCCTCCCCCTTGCCTTCCAAATTCTTCCCTGACGGCCTCCTTCTCTGGCGGCCTCCTTCTCTGGGCCTCCTTCTCTGGTGGCTAACTCTTCAGTTCTATGGTGTTAGATAACAAGTCTTACTGTATTTCAAATTCAAATGTGATAAAGGAAATACCCTATTTGGGATATAATGCTTCCCATGATAGGACTTTCTTACAGTAGAATCAACATTTAAACTTATCATCGCCACAGAAGGGAAAAATGAGCAGACACATGCATAACGTGAGCCTAACTCATCATTTAAAGACATAAACAGTGACAGAGATGGTTACGGAAAATGAGGAAAAAAAAATCATACTGGTTTAATCGTACTCTATTATTAAAGTCATGTGGCAGTCTAAGGCTCTGACTTTTCAAAGTTTCCTCACTTTCACTGTCTGTGTAATTCTATGATATGAATGAAAGATAAGACAGAAAGATAGATAGATATACATATCTACACACGCCTAATTTTAAAATTCAATAGCCTTTTTCGAGTAGCCTAAAAGTTATTTATCAAAGTAAACTATGCCAACAACTAAGGGTACAGTGCATTATCTTTAGCTAAATAAACATTGATATAAACAAGTAGAAAATTGAAAACAGCATCCATAAAAGAAATTATTATATTAGCATCTGGAAAAACCTCACAGCCCTGCTGATTTACCACTTCTCTCTGGGAAAGCAAAAGTTAGAATGAAATAGGTTCACATCCAGCCCCTGCCACTCACAGCTTTATCATTCTTAGTATGTCACTGCCCTGATCCTCGCCTTCAAAACTGGAGTAATTCCCGGCTAGCCTGACTGCCAGGGCTGTTCCAAGCTTGAAGAGGAGTGCCAGGGCCTTGTAACCCCAGGCTCCAGAGGGCCAAAACCTTTCACTCAACACATCCGGGAATGGAGAACACCAGGAGTGAACCCTATTGTAAGAGATGGACTTTGGATAATAATATTGAGTCAGCGTAGGTTCATCAATTGTAACAAATGTCCCCCTCTGGTGAGGGGTGTGGCTGTGTATGTGTGGGGCAGAGGGTACAGGGGAAATCTCTGTACTGTCCTCTCAATTTTACTGTGAACCTAAACTGTTCTAAAAAGTAAAGTCTACTGCCCTGCCCAGTGTGGCTCAGTTGGTTGGACATTGTCCCACAAACCGAAAGGCCACAGTTTGAGGCACATGTCTGAGTTGTGGGTTCAGTTCCCGGCCGGGGCGTGTGTAAGGGTCAACCAATGATGTTTCTCTCTCACATCAATGTTTCTCTCCCTTTCTTCTTCCCTCCCTTTCCCTCTCTCTAAAGTCAATAAAGCATGTCCTCCGATGAGGATAAAAATAATAATTAAAAATAAAATAAAAAGTAAATTCTATTTAAAAAATAACAACAGAGAAATGAACAACATAGAGCCCATCAACAGCTCAATAAAGGGATGCTGAATGAATAACGCGTGATACAGTCATAACGGCGACACTCGTCAAAGGGACCGGCAGTGCCACCCCACGGGCCCTGTGCCCGGTCATGCGCCACACTCTGAATTTCTCCAGCAGCAGTATGTCACAAAGAATTAGGGCTTTCACTTGTATGTACTGCACACTCTCTTTTTCTAGAAGAAATTATTATATTTTGAGAGAGAGAGATATCTGTATCTTCATGTGCAGTGAATGTATAGATGCAATGACTACTAACATCAATTATCTGTAGAGTTGGCCTAGATGTGGGGAGGAGAAGAAGTCACCTATTTCTCACTGGTCTGCTCTCTGTTGGTGATTTTACCATGTGTATTACCGTTATAGTTTTTGTTAATAATAAAAAAAGGAAAAGTGACTAAGAAAAGCAACAAAGTTCGAGGATATTAATATAAAAGCATTTGCAAATGTGGCATTGACTTATGTGACTTTTATTTCCTTTCGGAAGAACCTTCCCTTCCCCAAACATAGTGAAAAAGAAAAATCTCAAAGAGCCCTTCACACCCTCCCTTTAGCCAACTTCCTTTGAAATAGCAAAGGCATGAGTAGCAAAGGCTTTTCTAAGTACAAGGTGCTTTGTTCTTGCCAGGCAGAGTCACAATGGAAAGGATACGCCAGCTGCTTGATGTTACCTGGAGCTGGGCCTCACTCCCAAGTGAGATTTCTTTTCCTACCTAAGGATTCCCCCAACACACTCACACACTCGCTCACACACCCCCAATAAATAAATAAATATCAGTCTCCCTCTCCGGCCTCCCCACTGGCCATGGACACAGACAGTTCTAAAGACTGATCCCAGGCATGTGAAGAAATAATCACAGAAACATGAGCTAGGGCTGGTAGTAACTTCCAGATTCCTTTTCTGTCAAATTAAAAAGCACAATTTCTTTATTACCTAGAATCCTCCGCTGGCAACAACACCAACGGGAAATAGCAAAGAATCAGGAAGAAAGCCAAATGTCATAATCAGTATGAGCACATAGGCACACACACCACATGTTATCTCACTCATAAAAGTCCCCCTCTGTCTCCACCGAGTCTTATTTTCACAGTGCCAAGAGGTTTGGATGCCAGGTTGTCAAGCCCACATGGACTAGGAGGGAGTAACTGGTGGGAAGAACAAAAGTCCGAGAACTCTAGGACCTGGATTCTAACTGTGTGGCTCTGGGCAAGTCACCTTCCCTCTCTGGGTCTTGGCTCTCCTCACTTGTAAACTGAGGGAGCCTGGGTGGCAGACAATAGATAAGTAAATCGGTTTCATCTCACATTCAACTCATTGTGGCAGTGGCCTCCTGGCATGCTGAGCTGAGGGGGGCTC